TAACAGATAGCCTATTCATTTCGGTGTGAGTGCTCATGGTAGCAAAGAAGTTTGTGGCGGCAGAGACGGAAAACAGACGCAAAACGGACAGTGCTACAAGACACAAAACATAGCATGACCTTAGAATTCCAACGAAGGACAAATGCTATTTTGTGCTGACTCCCAGGAAGTAAATGGTGTAAGCCTTCGGTCTCCGAACAAAAACGTAAGTGCTACTGTATGGTACAGACCACTTCCCTACCCGACCCGTTGAGATCTAGAATGATCATGCCAATTCAAGTTCAGCCTTGAAATCTTGAAATCTTGTAACCTTATCTTCTTTAGTTTTCTTTGATCCTTAAACGTGGGAAAAGAATAGCGAGAGACTAAACGAAAAATATCCTCTTGCATTCTTTCTTTGCATTAAAAAATTGGAGACCATAAACAGTCTATTTGTCGACTGGCACTTACATTCTCCTTGTTAACTCTGTTCATCTCCGACCTGTTCGAAAGCCTTCGATGTCTCTGCTCAACAGGGCTGCGGCTACTATCGCCAGTGGTTACAGCAGATTGGTGTCTCATTCTTGTGCGCATGACCTCGTTACTTTTCAGCTGGCACAGCGACATCGCAGGCTTTTGTTTCTGTTCTTCCGTCACGGTATTAGCCCTACAGGCACGAGACGCAGAAGAATTCGATACGCTTTTCTTGAATTCTCGCTTTTTCGAAACATTCTTCTCATCTGGCTTTCTCTTAGGGATTACCGTTGGATAATTAACAGTGAAAACATCGTCCTCGTTTTCAGAATTGTCCCGAGCTTGGGCTCCTTGTGAATGAATTCGGCTCTTGGGAATCCTAGTCGCAGGCTGGGACCGAGCTGACGTTTGCTCAGAATGCCTTCTTTGCTGCGCATGCGCCAATGCAAGTAGGCTCTGCTTCTTCGTGTCAGCGGGGCACCTTGCAGGCAAATTTTCCCGCGCTTTCGACGTGCTGTCAGAGGCGGGAAATGCGGTCCTCGTTTTTTGCACGTTGTCAGCGACACAGAAACTTGGTCTGCTGCTAGAGGAACGGCAGTTTCCTTGTGCGTTAGGAATTGGTGCTTTGCTAGTGAAGAACCTTCGTTCTCTAGACGAACTTCTTGCATTTTCCCCTGAGATGTCTGGATTCAGTTTTTCTTGACCATCCCGTTTTGAAACATTGGACCTTTCAACCATGTTATCTTTGCCTTGTTCTTTTTCCGTTTTGCCAGAGCTTGAGATCCGAGATCTAGGACAGTCAGCATTGGATCTAGAAGATATGTCTGAAATGTCAGAGGCGACACTGTCACCTCTTTCTCGCTCGCACTGAAGGAACCTTTTCACATAGGGCTGCATGGCTGGGACATACAGCAACTGCTTCGCAGAAGGCCTGTCGTCAGGGTTCTTTTGAAGCAGTACAGAAACTAAGTCCTCCAAAAGTGGTCCATAACAACTATAAAGAAAGTATGTTCATTAATGTTTAGTCGAAAGGTATGACTGAATATGCGTTAAAACAAACCAGGAAGTAACAGACAACATGCAGAAGATACTTTCACTTGTAACTTACCCTGGAATTGGCGGGTATTGCCCCTGTAAAATCTTGATTACAAGAGCAGAGAAGTTGTTTGCGTTGAATGCGTGCTTCAGTGTTGCCACTTCATACAACACACAGCCTAACGACCACATATCGCTCTTGTGATTGTAGCTAAAATTAAGTTAAGGGCCAGAAGAGAAATAAGCCGAAAGCACAAAAGCAGATCAAAAACACTGTAAAAATTGTTGAAGGATTACTTCGAAGTCATTGTCATTAATTCTTTTTCATTTCCACATTCATTGTTAACAAAGGATACGGTTTCCTTTGACAGATCTCTGGTGAGAGATAATATGGCGTACCTACAGTGGTCTGCGCATGATCCAAAGTGCTATTCAACATCCGGGCAATGCCGAAATCTCCGAGCTTGATGATGTCATCTTTACCAAGAAAAATATTCTGTGTTTTCAGATCTGAAACACAAATAAGAGTGAATCTAGAATTAAAGTGTCACGAATATAGGCACCGCGGCCTAGCCTCCTACACTGAAGACGCTCTTTGGCCTCGTCACGCACTCTTTTTCCCCCGTTACATGGCGTGACGAGCCAGAAGAGCGTCTGCGTAAGAGGATACCGCTGACCGCAAACTAACGAGTTTGAGAAAAGAGTCTGGTAACTTGCTTGATAATAAAGACTTTTTGTACTAGTTATACTGACCTCTGTGAAGAATATTCTGTCCGTGAATGTACTTGAGGGCAAGACAAAGCTGTGTAAACCATTCTAAAATTTGCTGCAAGATTGAGAATCAACAAAATTATTTCGTACTGAATTCCATCCTAACTAAGAAGTCAGCATCTTATTTCACTTCAAAACATCAATGTATTAAACGTTAACGTCAAGCGTGTGGGAAATGAAAACACGGCTTTCAATCAGAAGAGTAAGAAAGTCTCCGCAAATAACTCTCACACTAGAACGATGCAGAAATGCATAGAAGTCTGTAAGGAGAAATTGAATTACAATCTAATTAATTGTTGCTAACTCCCCAAAAGATATTAACAAATCAAATACGTAGGAAAAGGGATAGAGGTAAGGCCGGAAAGGTGAAAATTGTCTTGATGAGTTAATCATAAAATCAATCTAACAATGGAGAACCGGTTAGGATAATTTGAATTTTGGCATCATGGCTACAAGTGTTAATTTCTTTAAACTTACCGTTTCTTGAAAGTATAATCCATTCCTCTCCCTAATTCTGGTGTATAAATCTCCTGTTTTAAAAAAAAAGTTAGAATTCTCTTACATATAATTTGTGTGCGAAATTGTTTACTACTACAAGTGTGGTTTGTGCGATGCAAACCACGTCGGGTTTACGTGCCGACACCCCTATCAGCGCGTTGATTGAGAAACACAAAGGATCGTCTTCAATCGGGAATCACAGTAAAGAGCAACATGGAACAGTCCCAAGTGACATATATCGTGATTTCAAGATCTTGAGAAAGTGCCAAAGTGAATTCAACTGCCTGATCTACGAAATGCTGTTTGCAAAGGAGCTTAAGCCAACTTTGAACAAACAGTCAGATTCAATCCGTGCAAAGTTATTTATATAGTTTTTTATAGCAATTTGTTATTTTAACACAGCGCTTGTATTAACATATTTCATCATTGGACATTCTCACGCCCTATTTGTACTTATACATGTATATTTCATTCGCTTTTTCTACAACTTGAAAATGATCTCAGGTAGATCGAAACGTCGTTTTTTATCGCTAGTTTTTATTCTGAAATTGTTACTATGATTTTAAGGGACGGACAATTATAATTTTGACGGGATGGGCAATTTCCAACAAAATACTCCTGAACAGCAAAATCGCTGGCAAAAAAAATCCTACAAGGGAGGCCATGAGGGAAAAAAATCGAGCAAGTGCTTTTTAGTATACTATTCAGGTCCCGTGTTTGACTTTAAAAAAAGTTGCACAAACTTTTGCCCACCAAAAAAACAATGCACAACCTAAAGGTGAGAAATAATTTTCACGCCCCAGAAAATTGTCCAACCCACCCTTCTTCCCCCATTTCAAAAAATAATGGTCCGTCCCTAAACAGAGATGGATTAGTTTTCTGAAAGTGTTGATTATACGTTATGTTCGTTTGCTCAAAGGTAACTAAGGTACAGTTGCATTACAGTCTGTAAACACATGATGAGAAGCCTGTGGCTAATTCCTCGTTAGGTGAATGAGTCATGCCATCCTCCCGGGCTCTAAACGGTGATTTTGTCTATAAATTGATCGGAAAGAGTGTGTTAGACGAACGTCCTTCGACATTTAGTAGTGGCCGGCTTTGTTAACACAAAAAATTTTAGGTAGAAAACCAACGCTGCGCAAACGATGGATACTTTTTATCTTCTTGATTTTTCCTCCAAAGTTCAAAAATCTGAGAAATTATTGTTTATTTTTCCACTTACCTTTTTCGGCAAATTCCATAGCGATACACAACTTTCCTTGATCAACAAACGCCTCCTTGTAACGCACAATGTTCTTGTGCTTCAGCTTTGACAAAATCTTCGCTTCGTTCAACGCAAGCTGGCGGTCTTGTTCAGACATGGCCGTGACACCCAATTCTTTCAAAGCGTACATTCTCTTGCTCACTGTTGACTCGACCAGCCAAGCTTGGCCAAACGTTCCTGAACCAATTCGTTTAATTTTGCTGTAGCGCTCCATGTTTTAAATCTTTGGTAATGCCGATACTATGAATTGAACTGTTAACCGTTAGAAAAAAAGTTAACAGGCTGTTGAATAAATTAGTTTTATGACTAAAATCTCAAGAGACCAGCAATTCATTCCTCGTTCGATTTCGAAAACAAAACAATAGAAATATGGGAAATTTCCTTGCATCTATAATTAATAAAACCCGACATAATTTAATGCATTCCACCATAGGTATTTAGATATATACAATACTTCTATACAATCCACTTAAGATGCAAAAAGAATCATGATGGGTTCGTGAAGAAAGAGACACTTTTATTTCCCTTTATCAAAAACCGTTCCGAATTTTAAATCTTCACATGTAAAAAAAAAAAATGCGCGCTGTGACATTTTCAACCATTTTCAAGTGACCTTAACCTGCGGTACAGGCGTAGTTTGGGCAAGAGAGTGCACATATCCCCTCATCGAGTGTTCAGGACGCCATATTGGATTAGACAAAAAGCGGACGGTTTGGGAGAGGGAAAAAATTGCGTTCCAACTCTCCACGATTGTGAACGTTAAAACCGCCTGCACTGCAGGCTAACAATGCTTAGTGCGCGAGGCATTGTGGGTGAGGGAAGTTCTTAAAAATTCAAACCGTGTGACAGTCCGAATGTTTTGTCCTTTGTAAAAGTCGACTTAAAACCAGCGAAAAGTACTTAATACTTCTACCTTCTACCTTCTACCTTCTACCTTCTACCTTCTACCTTCTACCTTCTACCTTCTACCTTCTACCTTCTACCTTCTAC